CATGTTTCTAACAATATTGTACCTGTTGAGTTTCCCTCTTTTGCAGGCACGATATTGTATGTACAGTTCATTTGAAGCTGGCGTGACCAGACGAACCAGACAGGTATTGCATGTACTCCGTGTGAGACGTAGCGAGAATTGTATAATTCTCTTACATCCTTTCTGCATGTAATGTAGTTTGTTTTGTATTCACCTGCTTAAAATTGTTGCATTTATTTTGCATAATTGCTTCATTATAGCTTTCTTTGCATGATCATAAGTTATATTCGGCTTCTCGCATTGTCATTCCCATTTTGCCCCTGCCTGTGAGCACATTTCTTTGTTATCTTGCCTGTTTGTCTAAGTCTTCGGCCTTGTCAAAAATGGGTCGTCTCTGGGCTTTGACATTCACTCCCGTCACTTATGACTTTCGAGTTCTGTCAAAGAGGGGAAACTGTAGACACCCCATTTTTGACCAACCTTAAGACTCAGACGTCATCAATTGAGCGCTCAGTGATGGTGCATGTTGTGCTCGTTCTGAGGTTTTGGAGTTTTGGCTGAGAGACTTGCCTCCGGGCCTCAGAACTCTTTGTGCTTTGGCTCGGTTTGCGGACCAAGTCTTGTTTTCCCTTCCCGGAGGGAGGGAGTGGTCTTGTAGACCATCTCTCTGTGGTCATGGACTACTTTTCGTGGTCATAGGCCACTTTTCCCGTTTGGAGACTAGTTTTCGATTTTTGGAGCCTTTGGCCGCACGCCTTGTCTCGATACCACTTAATATTCTCTGTTTGGCGTGATTTTTGAACCACACCTTGTTGCCTCTACCTAGAGGAACACTATGGTCTGGGAGACCACTTTTGTGGTTGCATACCACTTTTGATGCTCGTCAGCTAGTTTTTGGGGCTTTTGGCCGCGTGTTTCACCTCCCGATTTCTCGTCTTGCATCCGCTTTGGTTTGTTTTTGGTACAAACCTTGCTTTCTTTGTTTGGAAGGTGGTACAAGGGTGGGAGACTAGTATTTTCCCTTGGAGACCACATTTCCTTTTTCCAGCTAGTTTTCTTGTCAGATAATTGGCTTTCTTAGTCTTTGGACCATCTTCACTAGTCAGCCACCACACCACCACCTTGTATTTAGTGTGTTGTCCTCTCCCACCTATGGTCGGCCAATTTTTGCTATAGTTGACCACCTAAAGTGGTCGGCCGACCACTTCAAGTGGTCGGCTGCTTTTTGGCACCTTTTTGGAGATATTTTGGGACAGCTGGCACAACTGGAGAGCATTTGAGCCATCCTCCATACACGTGTATGGAGGGATGGCATTCAAGCTTAGCTTCTCCAAGAAGCTTTGCCTTTCCTCTTCTATAAGAGGGAGGCTCCTCCTCCCTCCTCCAGGCTCAGAAAATTGCCATTAGAAGGATGGATATAGCATTGTCTCTATATTGCCTTGTTTCTCCATTTTTGTGCATCAGAAGTGTAGTATTGTCTTAGTTTAACACACAAACAGACACTTAAACACCTTGCTTGTGTTGCTGAGGCTCCTTGAGTTTGTTTTTGGTGTTCTTGGACTGGATTAAGTTCAAAAAGGCTACTGGAGTTGCAGTTATAAAGAGGGTCTTCAAGGGTGAGCTTTTGACCTTTAAATCCCCCTTTCTTGTTTAAGCTTTTAGCCTATCTTGCATGCTGTTTTAAGCTTAACTTTTGACTAATAAAAGTTCTATTTTTGCATGCTTTTGATCTTTGTTTAAGATCACTTTTGTCTTTGGGGTTGTCTACCCCCTCTTAGGCCCTGTTTGGCCTTGTTTTTGAGCCTTTTTTGTGAGCTTTGGGACCGCCTGGTGTTTTAAGGTCCTAAGAAGGGGAGGGCCATCCCATTCCCTTGTGTCTTCAATACATGCCTTAATATACCTCATGTTTGAGCATCTTTACTAAGTGTTTCTTGGCCATATCTTAGCTTGTATTTGTGGTTATTTTTCTGTAGCATACCACTGTTTTTGCGTAGTTTGGTCACTCCATGCATGGTTAATACACTTGTAGTGTAAATCACACAATCTAGTCTTGTATGCCTCATGTTTGAGCATGTGTTACTAGCTTGTTCTGGGGCCATCTCAGTAGGTTTTTGGTGTTATTTTAACATGCCTTAGATCTGTTTTGGGTTGGTTTGGTTGGCTCTTGCATGCCTAATACACTTGTAGTGTAAATCACACACACTAGTTTTGTATGCTTCATGAAGTAGCATGTTATTCTAGCCTATGTTTTGTCCATTTCAGCATGTTTTTGGGCTTGTTTTACCATGTCATACCTCTGTTTAGGTTTGGTTTGGTTGGCCTTTGCATGCTCCTTGCACTTGTAGTGCAATCCCATGAAATAGCCTAACATGCATCATGTTGTAACATGTCATTTTAGCATGCTTTTGGCTTAGCTCTAAGAAGACTTTGTTCATGTTTTATCATGTTTAAAGTCTGATTTATGTTGAATTGGTCATCCATGACTTGCTTTGTATAGCCTTAGTTCAATCTAGCTTGTTAGCTTTGTGTATTGAACCCACTAGCATGCATTGCTTGGCCTATTTCAGTGATTTGGCATCACTTGCTATGTGATTTCAGTCCATGTTTCATGGCCATACACTTGCATCTTTCACTTATTCAATGCGTTGGAGGGTTTGCCCCTTTATGCCTTAACATGAACCATTGCGTATGCCTTGATGCCCTTCCTTGCGAGCCACCATTTCAGTGCTTATTTGGGGTTATTATGCCATGACATAACTCTGATTTTTGTTGCTTAAGTCATTCCATGCATGGTCCTAATAGGTGTAGTGTAATCCACCTTATTTGCCTTGCATGCACCATGCCTTATGTCCTTCATGATAGCATATTTTGGCCTACTTCCATACATATTTTAGACTCATTTTAACATGTTCTAGGACTATCTTGGGTTGCCTTAATCACATGCTTCATGTTTTGTATAGTTGTAGTACAAATGCTCTTGCTTGTCTCAAGCTTTGGGCACCATTGCATGCTTCATTTGTGTTGTGTACATGATTTGGCATCACTTAACATGACATTTCAGAGCATTTAGCATTGCCATGTTCCTACTTCATTCATGCTTTGAATGCCTTTGAGTATTGTCCATGTTTGCCTAGTTTATGGCTTAGCTCGTATGCTTGCATGCCTAGGCCTTTGGGCCCTTATCTCAGCATGTTTTGGTCCTTGTTTTGACCTACTTGAGCTCTATCCATGCTTAGTTCATGCATTTGTGCCATGTATAGCATGCCTCCTTTGTGTTGCTCTTTGCTAACCTTCATGCCTTAGGACCCTAGCATGCTTTACTTATGTTGTTTGAATGATTTGGCATCATTTCTTGCTTCATTTCAGTGCACTTAGTGTTGTTACACTTCCACTTTTGTCACTCATTGAGTACTCTTGAGAGTTGTGCCCTTTGGCCTCTTTGATGGCCAATGCATTATGCATGCATGCCTTGCTTTATGTGCCTTCATTTCATCACCAATGGCCATTGATTTGGGCATGATTGAGGTCTACCCTTTTGGTTTAAGTCCATTGAGTGTACCATGTATATTGCATTGAGCATGCCACGCTTGGTATATTACATAAGTTGCCCTTGTTGCATTGCATTGTGCATGCATGCATTACATTATGCTTAGAACCTTATGAATGCCTTGCATTGAGTATGCCATCTAGTTTTCAGCATTTAGCATTGTGTATGCTAGTTGTTACATGCTTTAGCATTGTGCATGCCATTAGCCTTGTTTGGTTGTTCATATCGCATTGCATGTTTGCATGCTTAAGTCATATTGCATACTTGCATGCTTGAGTCGCATTGTGTATGCCATGCTTGCTTGCAGAATCCTAATCTAAGGTGTTAGTCCAAGCACGGGAAACGGAGGGACGTTTCATACTTGAAAGTGAATGAAAACGTGCTTAACTCCGTCGCCGACGCTCTTGATCATCCATGATAGAGTTCTAGCTTTATTGTGTTTACTTGTGGGCATTCATTTCATATTAATTGTGCAACTTCGCCTCCGGCCATCATGCATTGAAATGCGCGATTGGTGGCCCGAGGGTCGAGAACCACATCCCCCTTGAGCTCATGACATGATAGGGAGGGTGGTTGTGCACACATATCTTGCAAATACATTGCTATGCCCTTTCTTGCTCTCTGTTGCAGCAAATTGTAGTTCAGCAGCAACAATTGGTCGGCCAGCCAGAAAAAGTAGCTGGCCGACCACTTTTCTTGATTTTCAACAACAAAAAGTGGTCGGAAGGGGTTTGGAGAGACCAAAAGTGGTCGACCACCCTCCCAAAGGATTCCCAAGATGAAGTTTCAGCTTTCTGGAGCTTGGTGCAAGTTTCTGAGAACAAATGAAAATAGAGGCAAATCGGGGCATCGCTCTGGATTTCCGAACGAGGCGACCGGACATGCATGCATTCCTCTACCTCTGAGGCTCCTGATTTACTGCTTTCCTTAGCTGCCATGCTTAGATAGCTAGGTTTTGCTTTGGTCTGTACCTTTAATAGTTAATGCGTTTAGCTATTTCAATTCGTTTTGTAATAATTAGCTAACTTGGATTAGTTAATTACTAGGAAGCACGGGTGCGGGTATGAGTACGGTACGGGTACGAGTGCGGGTACGCCAATACGGCAAAACCCCAAAAAAGTAGGGTACGGGTACGGCTGCGGTACGCTGATATTTTTATTTTTATTTTTATTTTTTATAATTATGGTTAGAAGATCCAACCTACAAATTGAAATTAAATATCAAAACTAAAAAGAGAACTATAAAACTAAAAGACAAATATTAATATATTTCAATTCAACATAACCAACACCAATTCAGTCCATAATCCAAGCAAAGGAAAAACAACCAACACCAAAAGAAAAACAAGGCCAATTCAGTCCATAACACAAGCAAAGAAAAAAAAAACAAAAGAAAGCCCTATATATCTAAACTTGACACTTCAAAGTTCACTTCCATCAACTTCATCATTGAATAAAATAGCTTCCATCTCTGGCTAATCAAGTGAAAGATTTGCAATTTCAAGGAAACCAGAACCCTCCAATGAATCAAATGCATCTCCCCCAACGTCCCATAACTTGGTCTCTCCTTCTGTATATAGTTGACTCCTCCTTGATAAGAGACAAATATTGGAGTGCACAAAAACCAAATCCTCACACCGTTGTGGTGTCATTTTATTCCTCCTCATAGAGTGAATGAAAGAGTAGGTGCTCCAATTCCTTTCACAACATGATGAGGAACATGGTTGGCTATGTAATTTCACTGCCAAGGATTGGAGCATAGGTGCAGAAAAGCCATGTGCCAACCACCAAACCACTGGTTCCATTACTCCTCTATCACATATTGAGTCATTGTCACTAAAACTTTCTAAACAACCTGAAAACTTTGCATACTCTGTATTGACAACCCTTCTCTCATCTGAATCAGGAAAGTATCTCTTAAAACACTTGATTCTCATCTCAAAAATTTCAACATCTTTGTGAGGAGGAACACGAATGGAATTTTCATGAAGCCACATCCCACTATAATACTTAGATTTCATAATTAGAAAAAAAATAATAAGTAAATTTTGCAATGAAAAAAATTAAAGTATAAACTATGAGTCTAATGTGAATTATACCTTGGATTCAAGGAATGAGCAAGGCAATGAAGAGGTGTGCTAGTTTTTGTCGACCTTTCCACTAATATTTGATGCACTACAGAGTAAAAGGACGACTCTTCATTTTCTGCCTTCCCTTCACGCCTATAGATGGATGCCTTCACCCATTCAATCATTGAATCCCACATCTCATAAACCAAATGTAGACATGGCTGATCTGTGTCACAAAATCTAAGCATCTCATAAATAGGCAATGTGAATGAGAGTATATATTCAATCTTATCCCACCAAACATCATTCAACAACTTTTCCTTTACAACAGCTGCTTTCCCAACATCATCTTCCTTGTAAGAAGCCCATTTGTCACTTATCACCATTGTTTGGAGACCATGATATATAAGTTTAAACCTTTCTAGCATAACAATTGTAGATGCAAAGCGTGTATCTGCAGCAGAAAGTAGTTTCAAAGGTACAAACTCATTAAAAATAGCTAATCTCATAAGTGATTCATGATGAAATTTTTCACAAACATTACATCATCAATCACAGTAGTGATCCAATGGCATTCGTCATAAGCATATGCAGCAACCCCAATTTCCTTCACAGCATAAATGTTCTTAAGAGCAAGATTAAGAGTGTGCACTACACAAGGTGTCCAAAAGATCTTCAGATAATTACCTTGAATAATTGATCCGGCTGCAATACAAACTGGAGCATTATCAGTAATTACCTGAATTATATTATTAGGACCCACTTCATCAATCACTTCACTAATTAATTTGGCAATATGATACTTGTCCTTGGTCTCACCCTCACAATTAACAGCTTTTATAAGCATAGCTCCACCATTATATGCTGCCATAAAATTAATGAGAGGCCTCCTTTGTACATCAGTCCATCCATCAGATACTATACTCAACCCCTTCTCATCCCATGACTTTTTAGTTGGTTCCAATAGCCTTTTAATATTTGCCCTTTCTTTTTGAAGTAAGGTAGTGCTCAACAAATTATATCCAGGAGGGACATACCTAACAATTTGATTCTCAGCAGCATATTGAAAAGCATCCACAAAGTATGGATTCCTAGCCAAATGGAAAGGCAAACCTGCTGAATAGAACATACGAGCAATTAAAGAATGTAAATGTTCTCTAGCACTTTGATTGAATGCCCTATCTAAAGGACTACTCCCAATTGCCTTTATCTTTCTTGGTGCATAACCTTCCATTCTAAATGTTCCAACATCTTCTACACTGCCGTGGCTAGCACTAATTTGAGAAGATGGAGGTGGTAAAGGAACATTTTTTGGCTTTGCCAATTTTTTCCGGTTCTCAGCTTCTTGATCTACCTTTGAAATTTCAGAAAGAAGATCACTCTTGTTCTTCACAATTCCACACACTCTAATTCCATGGCCAATAAGTAGCAACAAATGGGCTCTAACTCTAGAATATGACCCTTGGTACTCAATGTCACAAAAATTACACTTAAATTTTGTATTACCACTTCCTCCTTTTCTCCTTTTAACTAATTTTGTAACATAGCCCCAAAGAGGAGCATTTTCATCTCTAGATTGATCAATGGAAGGAGCAGAAGCACTTGCAGCAGATGAACCTAAACTGCTTGATGAACTCATTTTCCTATAAGCATAAAAAATAATATTTTTGATTATTAAAAATAATATTTATGATTATTAACATTCTGTTGAGGAATAATATTTATGATTATTAATATTTATGAACTATTTTTTTTTTGTTCTAAATATGATTGAATAACTTGGTTCTATACCTCATTAATTTTTTTTTTTTTTGTTTCTACATCAACATCAGATTATACCTCTGTGAAGAAGAAAGAAGAAACAAGAAAAAAAACCAAAAAAAAATAAAGATGAAGAGATTTTGACCAGTTGCTTGGTTGCTAGGTATGGCTGATATGCAAGGGACGAAAATAGATGATAGATGCTTGCTAATCTCTGCCAAAAAAAAAAAATGAGATGAAGAAGAAGAAACAAAGAAGATGAGAGAAGACGAGGGTGATGAAACATTGAAGAAAAAGTCGTACCCGATGCTGTGGGTCGAAGTCGAAGACGAGGGTGATCTCTGGGTCGAAGTCGAAGACGAGGGTGATTTGATGTCTGGCTCAAAGTCGCCTCTTTGATGAGATTAGGGAAAAACAAACTTCATTCGTATATACATTTTTTCTTTTTTGTTATTAAAATTTTCTTAATATTGCTCCGGTACCCCTCAATTTTCCAGAAAATTTGATTTCTGCCCCCGACGTACCCAAAACACACCAAAGGTGTACCCATGCTGTACCCGACTCAGGTAGACATACCCGACTACTTTTTGCCGTACCTGGTACGCGTGTAGCCGTACCGGTATGCGTACCTGCACCCGGTAAGTACCCGGTGCGTGTACGGCACTATTTTTGGAGTACCCGTGCTTCATAGGTTAATTAATTTTTTGTGTAATAATTAGTTTAATTAGCTTAGATTAGCTAGTTAGCTTCTTTATTTGGTCTCTCCCTCGAGAGAGCCAACTATTGTAATAAGTATGCGTGTGTGTGATGCATGTCTTCCAACCCCCATTTCTTTGTCCCTTTCTCCCTCGAGAGGGCATATTTTGTTTGGCATACCTTATGCTTCGCATGCATGGATCCATTCATCTGTAATGCATGCATCGGGCTCGGTGCATCATACTAACTAGCATTGTATTTCAATACATTTATTTGAATACATGTACCAAGTTGCATTTCATATGCTATTCTAGAATAGCCGAGCCTATTTTAGTTGCATTTTCGCATGTGTTGCATTAGCCATCTTAACTTGAACTAGGATCATGCATTGATTTCTAACTAGTTCTTTGTTTTGGCTTGGAGTACACTGTGAGTGTTTACGATTTAGCATACTGCATGTGTGTTAATGTTGCCATGAAAGCATGCTTGCCATGAGGCTATTTGCTTACGTGATTAACTGCATGAATGCTTGTGGGTGAAGGTTGGATTACTTGAATTGGAACAATTCATTAAAATCCGTGTTTTAGCCTACTTGCGGGTAGCAAACTTCAAACTATTTTCCAAACAAACGGATATGCAATGCTTTGTTCCAAATTAGGCGATCTAGTCTATACTTGTGTGTTGTGCGCATCACATAGTAATTCTAGCTAATTAACCGGAATAAGAACACATGTGTTTTCAAAAACAAGATATCATGTTTAGTATAGGCCGATCTTTGATTGGGCGAGCGGGGGTGCTCATAGATGACCTTCCCCAATCGTACCCAAGTTCCCGAGCCGAGGCAACTTTGGTGATGACGGACACGTGGCCTTAGGCACGAGTCAGGGTTTCCTAAATTCCCCCAAAATAATATATTTAGGTGGCGACTCTGTATCTGGCAAAGCAGTCCATGTTTGGCACTTCTTTATAAAAATCAATTTTCCAAAACGATTTGCCGAATTTGGACTCTTTGGTGATTTATCGGTCTTACATCGCACATTGTAAGATTAGATTCAGAACTGTGACATTTGAGTCCGAACTGTGGTAGCTCAGAGAACAAAACGAGATTTCTCTCGGGAGTTCTTCGGAGCGCGTCCACAACAACCAAAATCAGACCTTAGACATGATAAAACATGAACAAAATCTTCTTTAAGCTAAGCCAAAAGCATGCTAAGATGACATGTTAAGGCATGATGCATGTTAGGCAATTTCAAGGGGTTGCACTACAAGTGTATGGAGCATGCAAGGGCCGACCAAACCAAACCAAAACAGAGTCATGACATGGCAAAACATCACCAAAAACATGCTGAAATGGAAAGAAAACAAGCTAAAATGACATGCTACCTCATGAAGCATACAAAGCTAGTTTGTGTGATTTACACTACAAGTGTATTAACCATGCATGGAGTGGCCAAAGCAAGTAAAAACAGTGGTATGCCTCAGCAAAATAACCACAAATACTAGCTAAGAACAAGCTAACACAAGCTTATCAAAGGTGCTCAAACATAAGGCATATGAAGCTAGTATTGCAGACACAAGGAGAGGGGATGACCCTCTTCTATTTAGGACACCAAAACAACCTTTCCACCACTGAAAAATCTCTGGATTTCAGTGGTATAAAGGTCATGCAAAGGGTTCAACAAGAGCCTAAAGGGATGGCTCAAAATAAGGCCTAACAAGGCCCAAGAGGGGGTAAAACTCCCCAAACGAAAAAGTGACCTAAAACAACTATTTTAAGAACTTAAAAATGGAACTTTTTTTTAGTTATAAGTTAAGCTCAAAACAGCATGCAAATAGGCTCAAAAGCTTAAGCAAGAAAGGGGGTTTTAAAGGTCAAAGACTCACCCTTGAAGACCTTCGTTACTACCGCAACTCCAGCAAGTTCTTTGAGCTTAAATCAGTCCAAAAACACCAAAAACAACTCCTTAGCACCTCAGCTACCCAAGGATGGTGTTTGAGTGTGTGTTTTTGTGTTAAACTAAGACAAATCTACACTTTTGAAGCACAAAAATGAAGAAACAAGGAGATATAGATACAACACTATATCTATCCCTCTCAGCTGGTTTTTTTGAACCTAGAGGAGGGAGGGGGAGCTTCCCTCTTATAGAAGAGGAAAGGCAAAGCTTCTAGGAGAAGCTAAGCACCAAGGCAATCCCTCCATACACGTGTATGGAGGATGGCCCTAATGTCCTCTAGCTGTGCCAGCTGGATGAAAATATCTCCAAAAAGGCGTCAAAAAGCAGCCGACCAGGCCGACCACTTCAAGTGGTCCACAAAGACAAAAACTAGTCGGCCATAGGTGAGAGAGGTCTAGGGCATGAAAACAATGCAGTGGTGTGGTGGCCGACCAGAAAATGTGGCCCAAAGACCAAGCAAGCCAGTTATCCAACCAGAAAACTGGCTGGCAGAAGGAAAAGTGGTCTCCAAGGAGAAAAAGTGGTCTCCCACCCTTGTACCACCTTCCAAACAAGGAAAACAAGGTTTGTATCAAAAACAAACCAAAGCGGATTCAAGACGAGAGATTGGGAGGCAAAACACGCGGCCAAAAGACCTGAAAACTAGCTGACGAGTACCAAAAGTGGTATGCGACCACAAAAGTGGTCTCCCGGACCAGAGTGTCCCTCTAGGCAGAGGCAACAAGGTGTGGTTCAAAAATCACGCCAAACGGAGAACGTTAAGCATTCTCGAGACAAGGCGCGTGGCCAAAGGCTCCAAAAATTAGAAACTAGTCTCCAAACGGGAAAAGTGGCCTACGACCACAAAAAGTGGTCTACGACCACAAAGAGATGGTCTGCAAGACCTCTCCCTCCCTCTGGGAAGAGAAGCAAAGTTCGGTCCACAAACCGAGCCGAAGCACAAAAGAGTTCAGAGGCCCGGAGGCAAGGCTCTC